CTGTTGGAGGTCTGCAGTGAAAGGACAATAGGCAGCAGACTCAGATTGTAACAGGGAAAAATTCTGACTAGATAGTTGGAATTATTTTTTTTTCACCATAAGGATGGTCAAACACTGGAGCAGGGTGCTCAGAGGGGCTGGTGAATCTCCACCTTTGGAAATAAAACTTCTCTGGACAACTTGATTTCAGTTACCTGCCTTGAGACAGCGGTGGAACCAAGCAGCTTCCAAAGGTCCCTTCCAACTTAAATTATTCTCCAATGCTGTGACCTTGAACATGCTTTGGAAAGTTGCTTTCAGCTAAAGAGGGAGCTGCTGTATGAGTTGTTTAAACAGAAGTTTTGCGAGCTTTGCAATATTCTTCTAGTTCTCTGCTATGCCTGACTGACTGTCACATATTTATCTAAGTAGGGCTCTCTTTTAATAAATTTGGCATTAAAAAGCTATGGCTCCTAAGCAGCTGAATCAAGTGACTAAGCATGTTTGAAGGACTGGAATTAAATTTCCCAATTGTGCATGTTAACGTAAGTGTTTTAGTTGTCTTCTGGAGATAATATTTTTTTATACTGCTTAAATACCTTTTCACCTAGACAGGTCTTAACAGTGAACAGGGTCTCTTGTTCTGTGCCTGTTGATTGTAACTTATTTTTTTTTTCCTTTAGAATATCTTCGTGCATGTTGTGGATATATCTAATCCCAAGGAAATCTCGAATTTTGCTGAAAAATTCAAGAATGAACATAAATTAAATGTGTTGGTAAGTTTGCATACATACTTGTGTGTTTGTCTTTGGAGGGTGTAGCATATGAATTTGTCCAACAGGTAGTGTAGATTTCACAATTTGGCCCACAATTCTCTGCTTAATTTTCTCTAAATGTTTTTGCAGTAGTCTTCATGGTCTGTTTGCTCTTGTCCATTCTCAGTTCACATACAGAGATATGCTACAAAAAATGAGAGCTGCATCTTTTGAGATTCTTGCCACATGTTTTCTGTTTGACTTTCATTACTAGTAACTTTGTCCCTTTTAAAGCTAGTCCTTCTTAAAGACTGAACTTTTATAGAAAGTCTGGAGCAGTCTAGAACAGAGCTAGGGCTCTGTTAAGCATCAAACTTAAGCTGTTAAGCATTATGGCTGGTATGGGGCTCAGTACGCTTTCCCCTTTATTTAACAGTAAAAATTTGCTCTGGGGACTGTACTAAAACTAAGGCACCTGGAGCAGTTGTTTTGGTGCTTACTAGATGAGAAAATTCTGATAGAAATGGGAAAATAGCTTTTGAGGAGTGGCAGTGAATGAGCAGGAAGGGGGCAGATCTCTTTTCAAGGTGGGAAAGAAAAGCTTGAGCTTCCTTTGGAAGTAAAGGCAGAGGAAGAAGTGTGCCTAAGAATAGGCTGACTGCACACAGCTTGCAAGCTTCTGACTGTTCATGAGGTTTAACCTCACAGTGCATCCATGCTGTGTGCTGTAGCGCCGTTTTAGCAATGTGTGAGTCGGGTGGGGCTTCTGTGCAGGATTGTTGGGCAGAGAGAAGAGCTGGGGTCCCTACAACCAGGGCACAAGGTCAGTATGAAGTACCTCTGCTAGTTAGCCCTGCTCTTCTCAGGGCTAACTAGGATGCAGCAACCTGCTGACCTGGCTAATCTGCCAAGTTTGGAGCTAATTCTTTTAATTTGCTGAGGGTGGGAGTTCCTGCAGGCTATTCTACCATGCTGCACATTTCCCGTAGTGAATTTTCGCCTAATGGAGAATACTTCACCACATAGTGTGGATGATATGGGGTCAGTGTGGTCTCTCAGATGAGACTAACAAACTACACTGCATAATTATGTTGTAATATTTGCTTTACAACTTGCATATTACTTTCTGTGAGAAAAGAGTTTAAAAACATGGAGTAAGGCACTAAGAGGACTGTTGGCTCTTAGTGTGATGCGTCTGTGGTGAGCTGTTTCTCTGAAGATACTTTCTTTTGTGAAAAATGTTTATCATCAGCAACAGGGTAGTGTGGCTTGGAATAACATGCTTTATTGAAACAGTTTGTAGCTTTGTGTTGCATTGTCAGAAACCAGCAAACTAACATGGACTGCTTGGATGTGTGGATTTGTTTGTAGATACTTGTGTAGATTATCTTTGTTTACAGAAGTTGTCTTACAGATCAACAATGCAGGATGTATGGTGAATAATAGAGAATTAACTGAAGATGGACTTGAAAAAAACTTTGCAACAAACACTTTGGGTGAGTATTGAAAGCTTAGTTCTGACATATACTTATTTTGGTTACAGAAGTGTATTTTTACAGCTGGGGTCATGAGGTATTTGTTCCCCCTAAAAAAGGGATCATACCATCGCTATGCCAGGGAAGGAACAGGAAAGGAAAAGAAGAAAATTTACAGCTTGTTTGGAGTGTCATTTTTTAATTTCTCCATTTTTTTCAGTTGTTTTCATATCCGTGCCTTTATCATAGCAGCAGTGGACAAATGCAGATAAGATTTAATTAAATTGATTCTGAAATTTGCTAGGAAACTTTGTTCCAAGCAGTGCTGCTAATGATATTCTCTTTGTAGTAAGTGTGCTCATGTGGCTTGGATAGAGCTTGGAGCATGTTCAGATATTTAAAAAGACATTCAAACGTTTCAGTAGGCTTGAACAGCCCTGTTTGATGGCACTGTGTAGGACGGCTGTGCCCTGGACGCTCTCAAACAGATGCAATATCTAGTCAAGTGATTGAGCAGTGCTGGGTAAGTCTTAGGCATTCCACATGTAAGGGGTGTATCCCATGAACTGTGTGGAGGAGGTGTAAGAGGGACAAGCTAAGGGAAGCAAATAAAGGAGGAAAGGGGAGATGTGGATGAGCAGGGAAGATGCCAAGCAAAGTGGAAGGTTCCCCTGTAAAAGCCATGGAAATGATGTGAGCAAACAGCCAGCCAGCAGAGAGAAGAGCTGTCTGCTGTCCCTGGTATCTGGAGGGCTGAAAGCTGCACCTCTTGCAGAGAGATGTGCTTGCGTCAACCAACAGTCCTGACACTCTCTTTTTCTTCTGCCTCTGTGCAGGGTAGGTGGCTTTCTCAAGAGACTGTCTTTAATATATTCAGAAGCAACCCATTAAGGAGGAACTGTGGTACTTTGTTTCTGTGTTTTCCTCCTGTACATCAGTATCTGGGACGAGGAATGGGGAAGCTTAGGCTATAAAGACTGGGCATTTATAGAACTAATATAGCCTGGAAGCTCCTGCTGGGGTTTATTCTTAGCCTTTTTCCTGTGTTGCTTCCTTAGCTCCTATTTACTTTTGAAAACTAACATTTTAGGTATAAATGTCTTGTACTTAGCTGATATGGCGCATACAGCCTATTTTTTCTGCAAGTCTGAGTACGTTAAACTGACAATTAATTCAAGTATAAAGGCACAGATTCCTTTTCTTCAAATTAATCTTCTGCTAACATTCTTCTGGTTCTCGTGGTCAAAATTCAAAATTAATTTTATTTTGCCATTAAATTTCCTTGGCTGCAGACATACAAGAACTTCTACCTTGAGAAATTTATTCACCTTAAATTAGTTTAACCCTCTTGCGATCTTTCAAACAAAAATCTAGTGATGTGCAAAGATGCAGTTCTTCCAGAGAGAAACAGAATGAAACAAATACAACAGTCTGAACCTGAAAGCATGTTTTGGTTTAGTTTTAAACATTGAGGAAAGGAGTTGCTGAGGAACTGTACTAGTACATCACTTGGATTAGATTTTATCACACAAGTAGAAGCAGCAAGTTCTGCTTTCCCAGGTGTAAATCAGCCTCGCTAGAGACATACAGCTGCATGGAGGAAGCTGAATTATGATTGTAGCGAACTAGGAAAATGTCTGTGTTATCTTTTATGAATGTTATGTGTAGATCTCCTTTATTCATTTGTGTATCACTTCCTGCATGATGGTATAAGAAGGTCAAGGAGGTGATCGCACATTTGAGCAGATAAGGTAAAACAGGTAAGTCATCCTCTGTTGTCCAGCTTCCACAGAGTTCAGACAAGGACTGGGGTGTTTGCTTAAACTGGTTCTCTCTAGGCAACAATAAGGCATAAATTTTGAAGCTATTAGAACAGAATGGGACTTGGTTGAGCTGGAAGAGGCTGTCTGTGGAAGAGAAAGCTTCTGTGCTTGCAGATCAGACACATGAAGGACCGATGCTATCAACAGCGCAGAAGTTTTTTTCTTCAAAGTCAGAGATGGGATAATAAATCATATCTGCTGGAGTCATTGTAGGAGAAAGCCATATGGAGAAACGCCTGTCAGAGTAGATGCTGTGTTAAGTCATTTCTCTAAGCACTAGGTACCTTTGGGCATGCTTTACTTTGGAGAAGTTATTTCTGTATCAGTAACTATCTGTGGTTATAGGTTCCCAGAGAAAAACTTGGCTAAATTAGATATGGCTGGTATATAGATTGGCTGTAAACTAGAATGCGGTCTGAGAGAACAAACTAAATTCCCCTCTCTGCCTCTTTCCCCAGAAAACCTAAAGCCTGAAGGGTGACATGGGCTGAAGACCCCTGTTTTGAAAATCTGCAGTTGTCCCCCTCATCGGCAGCATGGAAACAATAACTCATGACTGCCTGACTTCTGCAGAAATAAGATGGAATAATATTAATATTTTTTCAGATCTTCACATGCGGGGTGTTTCTTCCATCTTTCTTTCATTGTTTCTACCCTGGATCTTAGCTCTGGTCTAGTAAAGGACGGTGTAGGTTGTAACTATCTAAGAATGCAAGACTCTGAACTATAACATGCTTTAAACACAGGGCAGAGTCTTTGAATTCTGTATCCAATATCTGATTAACAATTATATAAGCTGTAGAATTGCTCATTTCCAGTGTACGAATATTTTCCTCTTGACTGACTTGTTAGTCTGTTTTTGAGCATAATGGATGTTAGAGTTCAGTTCTAATTGATCATCTGACTTGTGAGACATACTTTATGACCTGATCTTTTCTTGGACATACATGGGCTAAAAATGAATGTGTAAGTCCTCTGGTAGATAAGGTGAATACATACAAAAGTAATACTGGTTAGAATAGAAAGTAAACTTCCCGTAACGTGAAACACTGCTGACTGGCTAATTGAGGACAGCTCAGTGGAATAGGAGGTGCAGAGTCCTCTCTGGTGTTTTCAGAATACACAGGTGGGTGAAGGTCATGAAAGTGCAAAAGGTTGATAGTTCAGGCTTTGTGTGGTTTGCCTAATATTCAAGTTCAAACTGTAAACCGCTTTGAGCGGGCAGCAGCAGTTGTATCTGTGCTGGTGCCTAGCATCCTTAAAATGGGGCTGAGGCACAAACGCTGTGTGGCTTGTTGTGGTTCTGTTGTTGCTGTCACACGAAATATCTTACCTTTTCTCCCCTGCTAGATCCCCAAGAATTGTTGCTCTGATTGCGGGAGCTCAGTGAAGGCATTGAGAGCAGAATAGCTGTGGAGCACTTAGACCGTAATGTGGGAGCACTAGCCGGACACGAGTCTGAAATGGCACATAGCTGATGGAATCACACCTTCAGTACGAAATTGAGCGACGAGTTTGGGGTAATGTGGGCAGATTTCCTGGGGAGCTGCCAGTCCTGATGGGCAGATTTTATTTGTGTATCCTTTAGTTTGTGTGTTGTTGCCCTTGTTTCCTCCTGTGGGCTGGTCTTGTACTCAGGGTTATATCCAGGAGCTGGGCAGCAACAAGCAGTGATTTCTTCTGATGAGATTTGCAGACTTCTGAGGGAACGCTTCTTTTTTTTTTTTTTAATTTTATTTAACTTGTTTTAGTAAAACTCCCAACAAAGACTATTCAGACTGGCAGTATCCAGTCATTTTGGAAAAAAACTGTCAGCGTTGGTAGGCAAGTGGAGGCAGCAGCAGCATATTCTTACTGAAGCACTAGATGTTTAGCTGAAACAATCCTTGTTCCTCTATTTTATAGCCTACCTCACTTTAGTTTACTCAACACATCTTGCTTGACATGAAAAAATGGCATATATGTTACACTTTTATCACTGCTTACCAGCCAAAGGGATGCTAAAACACACTAAGAGATAAATAAATTATGCTCCCAGTATGCATCTTTTCTTCAGTTTAATGTGCTCTTATGTTTTAATAATATAGCCATATACATTTACTCTCTGCAAGAAGGGGTAGGGCCAGAGGAAGTAAGATACTTTTCTACCACAGTAGCAGTACAGCCCATCTATGGCAAGTTGCCTAACCTGTATGGATATTTATCAGTCTCTTCCCTACAGATAAACCACACCTAACTGGTGTTTCACACAAGCCAGCATGGCCTGGTGTACTGTGTTCTGAACTACTTCAAAGTCAGGCAACTTGGATAACAGCTGTCAGTCTGCCATAAGATCTTTGGTGAGACCACCTTACCTGTGAAAAGGAGACTGATACCAATTTTCTTTCTAGAGAGCTTTGAAACTTAGGGATGAGAGGTGTTATGTGAAAGAATAAGGTTGACTATAATTGCACATCCACTAGCTGTACTGAAGCCTAGGTTCCCAGGACACAGAGGAACCCTTATTGAGCTGAGCTTTGTAATTCAAGGGAAATGTAAACCTTTGTTTTGTCTTTCATGTTCATTAGCTCTTCCCATACACTCTCAGTTATTGCTAGTGTGGGGGAATTGGCCCTCAGAGACAGCACACTAAAATCTTCATTCCTGATCTTGTACTCAGGAAACAGACTCAGGAATGTCTCTTACATGGAAGTGCATAAATTGGAGGCTTGAAAAGATAACCAGGTCAAGGAAGAATGTCAGTTTGTTCGGTTTTGGGTTTTTTCGGTGTTTGTTTTTTTTTTTAAGGACTTGGTCATAAGAAAAGCAAGCCAATTTAACTCATTTTTACCAGATGAATGAGGCATTGAAATCTGTACAATAAAAGTTGGGGGTTTTTTGTTCCCACTTTTTTCACAGTTGAAATAACACTGTTCCTAATAATACTGCAAAGCTCAGGCAGATGGAAAACTTCACTGAGTGTGGTGCTGGCTGCCTGCCCTTATCTGAATGTTAGCAGATTAAAAACCTCACCAACAATCTACCACTAATTGCCAGATAGAACATCAAGCAAAAACTATTCTAGAATCCACCAAGACACTTGGGTCTGCAATAATTGCATCATCAATTAATTTGATGTTATAAACAGATAGTGCCTTTACAATATTACTTCTGCTGAAACCATCATTTTCTTTGTAAATCATTTTTGGAGTACATGTT